TTTTTTTTTTTCCCCCCCCCCCCCCCGGGTCAAAGTATGATTTCAAAGTAGATAACTGAACCTATAAAGTGCCAGTTCGTGGTTCTTTTCTCTTTCAAGGAAAAAATAATGGTAAGAATGAAAACGAAAATTCGTCTTCACATTTGAGAGAGAGTATTAGAACGTAAGGAAAAGCAAATAAACTCTGTTGAAGTGTTTGTGTTTGTGTTTTAAGAAAACATACCCATCAGTAGCTTGAATTCTTTCATTGGGAGTTGCATTCGAGAGGAGTTCTCTCTTGTAAACGGCAAAGGTCAATATAACTCCCAAACGTTTTGTTTTAAGCAACGGAAAAGGAGCAGTAAGAACCCCTTTTCCCGATGCCCTTGCACGCAACACATTTTCACGATCTTCCTGTTAGACCATGAGTGAAACATTATCACTACAAACACAAATAAAAAAGGTCAATTTTCTATTTCCCACAGTAGTGGAACAACCTTGATACCATTGACGGAAAATCTTTCAAATTAGTTAAAAATGAGCTCGAGAAGTGAAGTTATTCAACTGTTGAATTCAATGAGGATACATTTTAACTTAATTGACAACGAACTAACTAACTAACTAACTACCTTCCCAGTGAGCATGTCCAGAGAAACCACGTGCGAAACGGTATCCTGAGCAAAGATGACCGGAGCATATTCCTCCTGAACCGGGGACGGCTCCGGTGTTTCTTGTGCATGCTTATCCTTATGAACCGGGTTCTTTTCAAGGGTATCCATCCTCTTAATAGTCCAGCCTTGCTGCTTCTCGAATTGTTCCCTCTCAGAGTGGAGCACCCTCACAGCATATGCCACTCCACTCGTGAGAGGCCTCTCAAAAGCAGTTCTCTCTGTGTACCTTGCAAAAGTTCTCTACAGGTTCTAAAAGTTAGGTTGTCTTTTTTGACAAAAGAGTAAACTAACAATGACCGCTTAAAATAACATAAGAAAAAGATGCTCAATTGCTCAGATCCGGTACACTGGAATAAGCTAAATAGACAAAGAAATAACATTTGGAACAAAAACTCATATTCTTCAAATTTCACATATCGGATCCTATCCGAAAATGCCATAATTGAAGCATAATAGCTAGACTCAGGAAGTGAATTTGAGCTCCATGTATGATAGCTACCATTATTGATATAATGACCATGACAAAGTATGAGGATGAGATCAAGTACTAGAATAATCTAAAAAGACACAAAAATCAACAATTGGAACACAAACAATTCAACAAATTAAACTATATCCTAAAAACTATACAAATTTAGTACCACAATTGATCCAATTAGGAAGTGAATTTGAGCTCTATGTATGAAAACCCACAATTATTAAACAAAATGACTTTAACAAGAATCAAGGTTCAAGATCCAAATTTACCTGATCAATAGCAGAAGGGTTCTTGGCATGATGAAAAGTTGAAATAAGGATGGCCATGGCCTGAACATGGTTCATGCTGACATTAAACTGGTCCTGCAACATTCTAGCTCTCTCATCACACATACTTGCAAGAGTTTCTTTCCTCTTCTCAGAAACTTGGGAGCTCATGTACCAGAAGATCCAAAGAGAGGCAAAAGTCCAACCAATTATCCAACAACCCAAGACCCTTTTCCACCATCTTTTCCTGAGGCTTTTTGAGCCTATGCAGTGGTAATAGTGGTGGTGCATCTTGAAGATCTTCTCCCACCATCTTAGGCACATCTTGGGCAAAAAACCATCACCAAGTGTTAAACCAGACTTGGTGTCCACAATCCCAGCGTTATTAAGGAACCAATTCATGGAAATCACATATACAATCCAGCAACATAGCATCCAAAGGAGATGCCCCACCCTCAAACCAAAACCAAACACATGAACCAAACTCATCCACAGCACTACCACCACAGTGCCAAAAATATTGGAAGTGGGTCTGTCTGACTGGCCCTCTTTAGAGAGAGAAACTAGAGAGAGAGAGAGAGAGAGTGAGAGAGAGAGAGAGAGAGAGAGAGAGAGAGAAACCCACTATCAAATCTACAGAAAATGTCTGCTTGAACAAGAGATTTAGGGAAAATTTTGAAAAAAAAAAAAAAAAAAGTGTCAAACTTGGAAGCTGAGGAAGAAAGGGAATGAGGGTAAAACTTACAAAGGTCCAGAAAAGGGGAAAAAATAACTATTGAGGAAGTGAAATTTGCAAAAGGGATTGTGAAGATGCTATCTTATCCAATATCCAACAAAGCAACTTCCAAGTTGAGAATGCAATAAGAAAAAAACACCAAGAGGATTAGGAGGAAGACAAGGAAGAAACTAACATTACCCACAAGGGAGGAGGAATCAAGGAAGATTCTGGTTTCTAATTCCAAGCAGAATTTTTTGATATCTTTTATCCTGTTAGCTAATCAACCAAACAAAGCCCAGAACAAGGAATGGGACAAAGTGACACAAAACAAAGATTCCAAAAACAATTTTCACTTATCAAATCAAAAAGTCGACCCTCCCAACAAAGAATCTGACAGGAAATGGAATCTAGTAATTACCAAACAGACAGACGTTTCTTAAATTCCTGAAATCCAAACATGAAAGTTGTTGCTGTTCAACCATGTGGGAGTTTTTGAGGTTTGACTCTTGTTTTGATTCCCCAAAAAAAAAAAAAAAAAAAAAAAAAAAAAAAAAACAACAACTGTTGTGATCTTTGCACAGTTTGAGTTGGAGTGAAACAAAATTAAGGATCAGAACAGTAGTGGAAGATGAAGAAGCAGTTTTTTTTAGTTTAGGATGTAAAAGAAGCTAACAAGAGTTGATTCATGGACATTAATAGGAAAGAACAAGAACAAGAAGAATAAAAAAAATAAAAAATAATAATAATAATAATAATACGAAGAATATGGTGGTAGAAATGTCTGCTAGCTACCCAGGCCATTTATCTCTATCCTATAACAAAAATATAAAATAAAGACATAAAATAAATTATTAAAATATTTATTTATAAATTAAAGTATTTAATGATTAAACAATAAATAAAATAATAAATAAAGCAAAACAACACTTAATAAATTTTTTTTATTTTACAGATTAAAATTTTTAATTTAAATTTTATTATAATTAAAAAATTATTTAAAAATTATATTTAATTTTTTTATTATAATTAAAAATTTTCATACAAAATTAATATTAATTTAAATTAAAAATTTAAATAGATAATTGAACAAAACTTTAGCAATGCAGTAAAGTTATGTTTGCGTAGTATACTTCCCACTCGGACGAAATCGCTGTCTTTTTAGGTTTCGTTCATTTTGCTGATTTGAGTTTAGAATTTAAGTTTTATTATAGTAAAAAATTCTCATAAACAGTTATATTTAATTTTTTTATTATAATAAAAAAATTTTAAATAAAATTATATCTCAATTCTAATTTTTATTTTTTTTTGCGTTCTTCTCTTCAACTTTCCCTTGGGTTCACATCTCTATCTATATCTATCTATTATCTCTATCCCTGCCAAAGTAGACAAATTCTACACGCTAAGTTGTTAAACTCTTTCTCCCTCCCTCTCTCTCTCTCTCAATGTGTTTGTCCATATGGCTGTACTTTTTGAGTTTTGACAAAAGTACCCTTGCATGGAAACGGATGTTCAATAAATGACAACTTGCAAATGGGATTAGATGCTTATGCTTTTCCAAAATTGCCCTTAGAGGAGCAATTAGTCAAAAAGGGTAGGTAATGATAGGAACCTCTCGAGGTGTTATTATGCTTTGCTTTTCCCTGTTTTGGAATCTAATCCATTGGTTTGGCTATATATTAAACGAGGCTTAATTGTCTTTCCATGTTTCTTTGTCCACTTTTTTTTTTTTTTTAAATAAAAGTTTGATAAATCATTCGGAATTTTTATGGTAGTATAAATAGTATTTTATCTTACCAGTCATAATTATTATTTTAGTTATTAGATTTAATTTTTTAAAACGGTTTAATATGTGAATATAAATAATTATGTGTCTCGCGCTGTAAAGTATAAATTTAAACAGCCGCATATTTAACTGTTTCTTTTTTTTAAAGCTAAAAAAAACAAAGTATATCAATTGTCTAATGCGGAAATGTGTTATTCGTGGAGGAATTTTTTCCGACCAAATAAGCTAATCAGTAACTAATTAAATAGTTTGCTTTGTTTTTTATTGCAAACGGGACGAAAATTTCTTTTCTTGGAATGGAATTTCATACATTAGTATAACAATTCATATTAAAACAAATGAGAAAAATTTAACATTAACGACAACTCATTTCAATTCTGAATAGATTCAAAAGGCAAAGTTAGAAAACCAAAACCCCACCAATGATAAAATAATCAACTTTTATGTGTGTCAAATGTAGTTGTAACCAGCTTCATCGTCCTTTTTATAATAGGTGTAGTAGGGGAAGGCATCTTTACTAGGTTTTTTAATTAGTTTACCTCATAGGAGATAACAACATAGAGTAAAAGAATGAAAACAATTTTTTTTTTTTTTTGAGTCACAATTATATTCTATCATAGGGATTTTTTTTATAGAAAAAAGAATTAGCATTTCCACTATTATAAATTACGAACCGTCCCTCATATCAAGATCTAAAATTTAAATTTAACAATATCTAATAAAACTGATTTTTCAAAACTGTATGTTATTAAGAGGGCATTCTCTTTAACATTAAAAAAAAACGTTTTTTTTTTTTTTTTTACTCTACTGTAAAATTCTCCACAAGTGAAACCGCATAAGTGTGTCCAATTATGGGCATTTGAAGTAAAAAATAGAAGAATTAAGGGCAGTAGTGAGAAGGTGAGAGAGGGGCAACAGCAAAAGTTTTTAGACGACAAGAGTGGCAGAAGAGTAATTAGAAGAAAAAGAAGTGGCAAAATCATGAGAGCACTTTAATCAAGGCTTGTCACCAAGTGATTAGGCCATCACTACTGCCCTAGTACCCGCTTTCTTTTTTCTTTTTTTTTTTTTATAGGTTGGGAACGAGAGAGAGAAAGAAAGCTTTACTGACAACGACCTCCCACGTCAGCGCACCGGTTCTGCGGCTGCAGCCAATAGGAAAATCCAACGTGTAATATTTCTAATGGCCTTGATCTGCTACGTGTCACTTGTGGGGGAAGGGATAAAACTTAACAGCATCTCTGTCCCACGTGTACAAAGAGACTTTTGAAACACCTTGTCGGCTTCTCTCTTATTCATTTGTGTTTTTGTTATCCTTTTCTTTCTAATTTATTTACAATGACAAAAATGGCTTTATCTACTATGACACCCTCTAAAAAAAATTTCCCGTTTTAACAGCTGGAATATTTCTTTAACAATTAGGACATTTAGTTGAAAGATTCAAACTATGTGATTCGAATTATTTTTAATTTACGTGTATTTTTATGAGAAAAAATACTGTAGCGAACCACGAATTATGATTCAAATCAGAGAATGAATCCTTCTACCAAACATCCTATGCAGAGTGAATAACTTTGCGCATTGCATTACAAAATTTTAATATAGACATGTGTAAATTTAATTGTTAAAAATTTAATTTAACAATTAAAATAAAGTGTTCACCGATGAGTTTTTTTAGAGATGCCACTATAGAGGCTCCCGATAAAAATAAAAAAATAAAAAAAAAAGAGAGGGGAAAAAAAAGTGTTAGGAAAACAACTTGCGATGACTTGGTTCAAGTTTGAGTTTTCCTTTTTCTTTAGCATAAAAGTTGGAGAGTTCTTTGAGAGGGCAGACAAGCACTTATGTAGTGTTGGACTTGTGAATTTGCATCAATTTTCATCAAGTTTATTCTCATTTTGGGACCTGTATATCAGTATATCAATAAGGTAAACTGTTAAATTTAATTAAAATCACATCATATTAAAAATATATATAAAATAAATAATTTTTAATACAGATTTAACAGTTATAAAGTATAGAAATATAGAATAGTTCATTTTTTCAGTCATATTAGAAAAACTCATTTTTTAATATAATTTTGACGTGGATAATAATTTTTGCTAAAAATAATATTTTATAATTCACTTTCAAATTTTCATCAATATTCATCAAATTTACTTATTATTTTATATTTACATAATTATGATTTAGTGTAACAGTTTCAGAGTGTAGAAATATCTGTAAATTTTTCTTTTGGAAAAAAATACTAAGTAGTATGTACCACGCCAACATATTTATTGTATATGTGTTTATGATTTAGTCTAACTGTTTAAGAGTACATGAATATATGTAAATTTTTCTTTTGGAAGAAAATATTAAGTAGATTATACTTATATTGTTTATGTGTTGAATAGATAATTGACATTTAAGTGATTTATACATGTGAATTCGAATTAATCATCCCCTATTCTAGCGCCTTTATGCTATGTTTGATAGGAAGAAAGAAAAATAAGATAAAGAGAAACGATATAAGAGATAGAAAATAAGAGCCATGAAAAAGAAAATAATTTTCCTTTTAATTGTTTGGTATGATAGGACTTATGAGGGAAAGAAAATGAGTTATTATGTAATTACTATTTTACCAATCTCTTTATAAATATGTAACTTCAAAATAAGATTAAACAAGTAATTATATATTATTTTATATGTTGTAAGTTTTCTCTACTAAAATCTCTCTATTTGTAGAGTGAGTAAAAATGGTGGGACCCACTTGTGACTCTATTTTTTCATTTTTTCTCTTTTACCTATTATCAAACAACCTACATTTCTTTTATCTCTGTCAAAGTCTCCTCATCTTCTTCCTTCTTTCCATTTTTTTTCCTACCAAACTTAGAGTTAGTGACAATTGTTGTAACTAACCAAAGCAACGTTCTAATGTCAATTATTTATCGAAGGACACTATAAAAATACAATTGTGTGATATTCTAATCTAGTAAATAATTTTTCTCCTTTTTTTTTTTTTTTACACTACTACAGACTTATCAATTCAAGTTATCCAAACAAAAAAGAAAAAAGGGTGAGGGAAGCCAATTGTTTCTTTCTCTTTTATTTTACGCCAATTGTTTTTTTTTTTTAAAGTTTTATACTTTTTCATCCATTGGTGCTCAAAATAAGTTAAGTCACCATTTGCAGGCATTTGCCAAAAAAAAGAAAAAAAACAAACAATAATGATCTGTCTTATTTAACTAAAAGAAAAATGATAGGGGGAAAAATAACTTGCACTTGTCTACGGCTTGTTGAAGCTCGACTTGAAGAAAGCGACTTCCATCTCAACTCTAAAGTAAATATAGCCCTTGAAATTGTTATGTATCGGTATATTATTGATTTAAGACATTTTTATTGGACCACTTATCCTTTTCATAAATATGCAGAAGTAATTCAACCAAAAAAAAAAAAAAAAAAAGATAGGCAGAAGTAAAAAAAATAAAAATAAAATGTTGATAGTTTATCTTTATTTATGAAAATAATTAAATATGCAATGTACGACTCATAAATCATTGGCATTTAAGACATTATTTATTTCATTAAATATCATAAAGTCCGTATGGTTTAAGCGAAAATATTGCAGGTCTCGTAATTAACGATCGGTGCTAACAAGTTGAAAATGACACGAGATTACTTTTTTCTAAGTTCTAACGCGTCTTTAAATATATTATTTTCCCCCACAAAGGTACATTTACGGTCACAT